TCTAAACCTTGGGCTTTTATCATCTTGGCTTTTCATTCGTTAATAATTTTTCGTGTTCCGCCGGGCTGTTTTATTTTATCTATTTGTTTTTTTTCACTTTTGGTTAGTTCTTCTTTTTTTTCTAAGCTTTCTAGCATTTCTCTTTGGAGAGCACTTTCTTTCAGGTTGGTCTTATCTTCTACCCATAAAAAATTAATGAGAGTAACCAAAAAAATAATAATAAACCCAAAAACCTTCATAAAAGTGCTAATGGAAAACTTCTTTTTCCTTTTTTGGGAAGAAAAATGGGAAGTGAAAATCTCCAAGCCCCCCGGCGTAGCTTGGGCTTGAAAAATTAAGCTATACCCATGAGTATGAATAATGGCGGCCACAATGGCGATAACTATATAATAAGGTAAAGTAAAAGACAGTTGGCTGCTGCCACTTAAACCTTGTCAACTAGTGGGATTAAAACGACTAAAAATATACTCTCTTAAATTAAGGATTTTAAACAGTTGCGTTCAAATAATTTGGGATAAAACATAAAAAATGGAAGTGCTAATTATTTCTAACTTGGCTTTAAAAAAAGCCCGCAAAAAGAAAATAAAAAGTAAATTAGTTAATAATCCTAAGCCATAATAAAGCAGATAATAATTATTCCAACCAATATTGCTCTGACCCACGATTAATTTCGAAACAACCTGTAATAAACCGTTTAAGCCACTATTGTAAATGCCATTGGGGTCAATCAAAAAGTAAAAAGTGAGAGTAGTAAATAAAGCTCCTAAAAAAACAATTCCTAGTTTAGTTAAATATTTCCAAGTTAACTGTCTCCCCGTAGGCTTTTTGAGAGGCTTTTCTAAATAAAGTTGGCGAATAAACTCGTTGTATTGTTGCCAAACATTATAAGTAGCGCTAGGAACATTAGTTTTGTTGAGGAGTTTTTTTCTTTGGTTTTCCATTGTTTTTTAATAAAGGGGTGTAAGGAGAAATTTGATTAATGAAAATATAGTTAATTTCTTCCTTTTGTAAAGAGTTTTTTTGTAAAAGTATTGCCGCTAGAAGGTCTAAAACTCGCTTTTTTTGTTGTAAGGTGGTTTTAACTTTTTTCCAGCACTGACTAAGTATCTTTTCCCGCTCGTTTTCGATTTTTTGCTTAGCGGTTTCGGGTAATTCGGTCGCCAACATTTCTTCTCCGTAGAAAAAGGATTCTTGGGTCGGAACAATTCCTAAGTCAGACATGCCATAAATCAAAATCAAGTCCCGAATAATGGTCGAAGCATTTTTGAAATCACTATATGCTCCCATGGTAATATTTTCTGTGCCAAAAATTAACTCCTCACTTGCTCGACCCCCCAAAAAGGTCATAACCTGAGCTAACATTTGACTTTTGTTTAGT